GCCTTTTCATTTGTGGGGTAGAGAACGACAGGGAGAGTGTTTTGATCGAGCAGCGACGGTACCGGTCGAAATAACGAATGAATCCGCGATGCGAATAATTTTTGTCTACCCGAAGACAAAAGATTCTCCCGCCCGACTCTTTTTCGACGCTGCGGTCTACGCGGAGAAGTCTTTTCGGAGATAGAGCATTGAACGGTTTTTCGATTTTGGAGAGGATGAATATATTGCGGTGAGTCCGGAAGCGCTCGAAGTTCGTTTAGCATAGAGATTTTCGATCGTTCATGGAAGACGGCATATCGGACCGCTTGCCTGAACGAGCCGGCTCCATGGATGCCCCGCTCGCTCGCGTCCGTCGCTCATATCGCCGACGCAAGCAAGCGGAAAGCCTGCAGGACTTGGCCTACGTCTACGTCCGACCGTATGAGACGACCGTACATTCCGTCCGTTCGAGCGAGCGAGCCAGCGACCGACTAGCTGCGTGCAGGTTCACGTCACGCGCTGCCCAGACAACGAAGCAGTCGGCCATTTCAAAGGCCCGGACAGCTGTCCTTTGCAGTGTTGTAGTCGATTCGATTCCGAGGACTTGTCGTAGTCGTCATTTACGTCGGAGCTGCCGCTTCTGGTGCGGCGGCGGCCGCTGCCGCCGTTGTTGTTCTTGTTCTCGGCGTCGGAGGAGGCTCAACTACAAGACCTCTCCCCTGTTTGGTTGGCGGCGGGATGACTCCTTCTTCCGTTCAGGATCTTGGAGCCGAGGGCGAATCAGGCCCCGAGCAACTTTCGCATGATTTACTTTTGAGAAAAGGAGCATTCCGCCCGCTCGCTCTCTTGTTCGATCGAGCGAACGAGCCGACAAGCCCGTGGCAATTCCTCTGGCAACGAGCCGCGAAGCCGAGGCCAACAAAGACCGCCGCAGCCTTGTCGCGGTCTCACAGAACACCCCCGAGATCGTCGACACAATAAACGATAATACAAGGTTTCTCCTTTCTTTTTCAAACTCCCATTACGCAGCTGGTCCCGGGTCCCTTTTCCCCACCAAAATCTCGCCGTATCACTCACTCACTTACCCGGAGTCGGTCCCTTCCATCCAAGCAAGCGCGCGCCTTTCACCCCATGAACGCAGTTCATATTTTTCGCTCCTTCCCATATCTCAGTCGGTCAGCATCACTGACACTGCTGTTACTCTTTGAGGGACGCTCATGTATATGTTTATTCGCTTCTGTTTTGAACCCGACCGACCCCATGAGCGACGTGATGGAATTACAGCTACCGCCGAGAACGAGACCTCTAGGGACTTTCGGAAAACCTATTCAATAGAAATTTCGGAAGCCGTTTTGGAATGAACGAAATCTTCATCAGGGCTCGAATTCGACGTGCTCAGTATTTACGTGCTAAGCAACCCTGGCTAGATGTACATGGAATCCGAGGAACGGTGAATCTGCTTGTCGTTGAGACCTGGAGCCAAATAATAGTGAGATGTCTCTTTGGCGCCGGCGGTTGCAGAGCGACCTCCACTCGGAGACATTCATTGAGTCAAGCCACCGACCTACAGAACGAGCGACTTAATGAACGGCCTCAGTTGGCTCTCTCGTTGGTTGCATGGCTGATTTGTCCTCAGAGACGAGATACATTATTGTCTTCTTGGGCACGGTCAATGTATCACCGGGAAGAAAAAAACAACAACAACAGTGACTGAGAAGACGACATTATCACACACAGCATCTACGAGAACGATCACAGAATACCGGCGCCGACTTGCTCGCTTGTCCATCCGTCATCGTCTTCTGCTGTTCAACGAGGATTCAAACGGGTTCTCCTACGGACTTCCCCGGAAAACCTGCTCAACGAGGGAAACCTGTGTTCCGCATCGGGATCTGATATTCCCTTTTGACTCCGACCGCACTAATATTCTGTTTCCTCTTGTCGAGCTCGCAATCGCAGAGAAGCATCAGAAGAAGCGGGACAGTGGAGAGATTGCTCGACACATGGGCAGTTGTTGCTGCCCGTCACAAAGGGTCGTATGCAGTAAGCCGCTGCATGTCCGCGACGGCAGATACCTTCTACCTTCTATAAGCCCCCGCTGAATATATTAGTCCACAAGGACTACAGCCACACTCCACCGCAAGCCCTATGTTCATAGATAGGCTGTTTGCTTGCCAAGTTCTATGCGGATCGTCCGAACCATCAGGCGCAGGTGCGGATGCAAGACTGGAGAAACCGACGAGGCGGTCGGGAGACTCCCGTGCAACGTACTCCTTTTTCATGTCCAAATGTGCTCGTGTTCCTATATTCCTGCCGGAGGTCGGCAGATCCAAGGCTCAGAGCCGCACTAACAGCCAGAACTTCGAGAGTTTGCTCACAAGCTCAAGCTCTCCCCCTAGACCTTTCGACTCGATAGAGACGTTCTTTTTAGCGGGCTCATAGACAAGCTGTTCGTATGGGGACACATCAGGTAGCTACGAGCAGATAAGGTCGACTGTGCCAGCACCATCGCGGGAAAGCGCTGGACCACGGATGGTTTCGGCGTTTGTTCAAACCATTGATTCCGTCTCCTCGCCTCATCGTTCCGAACGTTGAGGTCATGATAGCGGAGCAGCAGCTCGGAAGAGTAAAAGGCCATAAAAATGTTCCTCCCCCCTAGAGACAGATAAAGCCGCCTCGGTGAAGTCCGCATTCTTAACCAGTGCAGGCGGCGTCCCCCCGTCGGCCGCGTCGGCGTCTGCCCCAACGTCGGGTCGTCTCGTTTCGCGTGCGTGTCTCCTCTCGCCCTCTCTGTGTGGAGCCCGTATATCGGAGGAATGGAGGAAAGTGACAATCTGAGACATTCGGATGCTCGCTCAAGCTCACCGGATGATGAAGAATTAGATTCCTAATGATTCAGATTTCTCAGGAAGCTCTCCATTGCGTCCCCGACAGGGATCAACGAGGATTCATGGGGAAACTAAATCACGCGGTCTTTGGAGGTAATGAGTGCTCGTGAGATGGCGAGGTACACAATAGCTTCGCGAGAGCTTCCAATGGGACCACTCCCTACTTGAACACTACTACAATAGGTTATAGGAATCCGGTTGCACTCGAGAGCAAACCCGAGATGCCGAGACCAGCAGAAAGGTTCGCAACAAGGACCGGATGTCCCCATCACCAAGCGTTCTGTTCTCTGAGAAAAGTTTTTCTTGTTGAAATGCTGAGAGAACAACCGCTGGTGAGTCCTACCCGGGGAGAAAAAATAAGAACACCAAGACAACAATTGGATTCCGCAGATGCTTTCTCGGGACCCGTGTGCAGCGTCCCCCTACCCCGACAGTGCGATCCTCTCTTTCTTCCGCTTCCACTCACCCACTGGTCCCCACCTCACCTCTACTCGGAGATTCCAGCGGTCCTTTGCTGCTCTCCGCTGATCTCTTCGGATCAAGCTGAACGCTCTTTGGGCTTTTATTAAATCGGCGTCGAGGAATGTAAAGAATTTTTCAATTGTTCCCTCGCGATTCCTTGAATTTTGAAGCGCCCCATTTGAAACCGACAGGCTCGACGTGTGTGTCCCAAACGAAATAACCAATGATCTACACGGACGTTCCGCGTGCCATCGACACATCCCCGCCTTGACACCCCGACTCTGGCGTTCGCGGAGAACATCGGCACATGCTGGTATGCTCCCGAGGGAAGTATGCAGGTCTCTAGAGATCGCTCCCGGATTCGGAGCTCCCTGACGATCTCTTACCCGGGAGCAGTGGTTCTAATCGAACCGACTCTTCAGTCACTAGTTTTCTGAAACACCGGAACTTCGCGGATCCACCGATATTTCTGCTGCGATCGACGTCAAGAAGATGCGTCCTTCCTCGCGCAAGCAAGGAGTCGAACAGCATGGTTTGCGAGGTATTCCCTGGACACCACGCCTGCCGTAGGAGTACTGAATTCCTGAAGCGAAGAAGTTGGCGTCCCTATGCAGGAAATTTCCCCGAGCAGCGCGAGTGATTGTCGAGACAGATGAAAATTTGCGCAACCCTGACGCTAGCGAGGTCAGTGCGAGAAGAAATATCGATACTTGAGAATATTTAGGATATGTCTCCTCTCGTGGTCGCGTACTATGACCCTGTATTTTTGATGGAGGACGATGATTATCCAGAATCCGTGGATCAATTGTCACAGCTGCATTGTACAATACATGAGTATGGATAGAGTCGCTCCAGGAAGTAATTAGTCAACGCTCCTCATTGAAGATTCGAAGATCAGTTCAGGCAAAATCTCATCCGAGGAGCAAATGATACGAACAGAATCGATGAGTGTCGACAGGAGATACGCTGAAGATAGCTTCCACTCTACCTATGATTGATAGGAGTGATATAATAGTTTCTAACTGGTGCTACCGAGGTATAATTGCGGACAGTCGATAATAATGCACGTTTCCGTCTGACGCGGCTCCATCGAACACTTGTACTGAGCCGCTTCGAGAACAGTCCGACATGAAGGCTCACCGGTGCGCCGTAGCCACAGCCAGAGGGACTCCGACACTCAAAATCACACCCAGGGGACAGCTATTCCAGCAGGACAAAGTTCATGGGATGGCGACCGAGGCTCTCTCTCACCTATGAATTTTCAGCCGGGGCCCCCAGGAAGCAAATGACGAATCCGCCCAAGATACGTCTCATGCGCAGTACTCAGGTATTCATTCATATACATATATACTGAATTCATCATTGATTTATTAATTTATACAGTATATTAAATTCACAGAAATTCTAGGCTCACGTCTTGGATTCCGTCGGAAGGAAGCGATTGGCGAGACGGAGATGGGAAATGTCAATCACTCCCCAAACACAGACTATAATCGAGAGATCACACCTCTCGATTCATCCAGCTCTGCTTCAGATCAGCACTTTATTTTGAGCGCAGGCCCCCGGCTATTCCAACTCGATCGTTATTAAGAGAAATTCTTCGGAATCTTTTATCACAGCTCTAAGAATATTGCACAGAGGAATAGTTCCCATTGGTTTCCAGGCAGCTCATCAATTGATGACATCCACGATGCAATCCTCTTCAATTCCCAGTTCCACGGTGTAGCTCAGTCGAGGGAAAGAAATTTCGATTTCTGACACGATCTGGCTCGTCAAAGACTTACAATGATGCACTGTGAGTCCCTTGAGGTTCGGTTGGTGCAGCAAGAAATTCTTCAAGCCCTGATCTCCGATCTTGCCGCATTCGTGAACCATGAACCCTGTCAAGGATGGGTGATGCTCGGCTATGCTCACGAGCGCGTCATCGTCGAGGGAACATTTTTCGAAGGCGAGAGACGCCATTGCCGAGGATCCAAGACCCCTCTCGAAGGCTGCCGCGGTGAAGTTGGGGGCTCTCCTGATCCTCAAATACTTGAGCTTCTTCAGACGAGAGAACTTGATTCCATCCTCGTCCGTAAGCACTTCGCAGCTCCCTACGTCGAGCATCTCTAATTTGCTGAGGTTTCCGACCATCAAGCCGAAGCACCCAGAGCTTATGGCACCTGAAGCCAGAATCAAACTCTGGAGCTCTTTCAAGCTTGCAATGTCTCGGAAGACTCTCGCATCGCAGAAAACGCCCACGAGGTAGAGATGCCGCAGATCCGAAAGGTTTCCTAGCGATGTCAATGAGCTAGCGACGATTCGGTTGTGTTCGAGGGCGAGACGCCTCAACTTCCCGTATTTGAAGATTCGGTTCAATCCTGTCTTCGAGATAGAGGAGGAGCCCCCTATGCTCAGATGTTCCAGATCAGGGGCGGTCAGGGACAGTTGTCGGAGGTGAGCGTCATCGAACCTTGTAGCCCCTAGTAGGGACAGACGCCGCAGTTTGCGGCAGCCTCCGATGGCGGTGTAAGTTTCCCGCTGCAGGGAATGGCAACCGCCTAATCTGAGCCATTCGACGCTTTCCGAGTGTTTTCGGAGCACTCCGATTACGTCCGCATCGGATAGGTGTCTCAAATTGAGATCGAGCTCTATGAGCCGTTGCCCCGAATTCAAGAGTCCGGCAAGAGCTCCGCTGAACGCCCGGGAGCGGGTATCGAGGGAAGAGGTCAGGGATATCGATGCCAGTCCCGGCATCAAGGAGCGCAGCAACTCGAGGGTCTCTTCCGCTGGAAAGTCTCGAGAGAAATTTCGCAGAGAGAGGTACCGCGTATTCAGCCTCAACTCACGAACCTCCCATGCAACGTGACGACAAAGGGAATCGTCCGGGGCTGCTAATCCTGAAAGGCAGAAATTCCGTTCTGGGCTCATCCGGGTGTTTTCGGACTGCGAAATTCTAGCTCGATGTATCATGGGTAGGGATGTAAATTTTTCGCGGACCGCCATTTTTCCGCGAATACTCGCGGAAATTTCCGGCTACTCCCCATAGAGTTTCAATGGAGGCCGCGAATTTCCGCGAATTTGGCGGAAATTTTTCGCGAAAAATTCACATCCCTAATCATGGGAGACTTACTCAACAATTGGAGAGATTCGATGTCCCTGCATAGTCCCAGAATGTCGCAGAGTCTCCGAAAGGACCATTTGCATTGTATGATGCGCAAATCTCGGATCTTTTCGTTGACAGCGTTCCAGAATCCCCGATCGAACGTATGCAGATTACCTGAAAAGAATCGTCCCGTATTAGTATCCGATAGCTTCCGTACATTCATGCGTTCCGCATCCTTCTGCATCAATTACCTCCCGTTACGGAGAGGTATCTGTACTGCCGGGGACTCTGCCTGAAGGCGAGTGCGGCTTCTTTGGCTTCGGGTCCTGGAATCACGAACTGGACAGCTTCAAGCCATTTCGGCTCGCACATGATCTCTGCCCATCTCCGGCATGTGCGAGCAGCGCTCAGTCGGTCCAATGGACCCAGCCTGAGGAACACTCCTTCGAGCAGCTGGAAGAAGGGAACGGAGTTACGATCGAAGAAAGGAACTCGATGTTTGACGCAGAGAGACTTTCCGACGCCGCCAGCGTCATATCTCGAGACCGACGACGAGCTCCCGTGATGATTTCACAAATCCTGCCGGAACATTTCCACATCATCGTGAAGGGTGAACTCGCAAACCTCGAGCGGAAGATCTGCCATGCTGCTTTCTTCAAGGAGCAAGAATCCTCAAGGCAGCCCTCACTAACTGAAGGATTCCACAAGTCCAACCGAGTCTCGTGACCGGAGCTGAAGAGTGAGCCGAAGCGCTCGTTATGTCCGACGAATGAATGATCGTAGCTCGGATTGTTTGGGGTTCGGAGTCGCCGGCTACCCAAACCCATCACCGACATCCGAGAGAAGAAGGGAAACTCAGAGCCTTTCGCGATATATCCTACGATAATTCTACGGCAGCTCGATCAGATCGAGGGCATAAATACCGGACGAATTCGGCTGTTCCCAGGAGCTTTGGTGATATAATAATGAAATACTCTCGGCTGCGAATACGGGCTGGCATGCTTTCATCGCGGCCGTCTCAGGCTTCCATAGAGTCACCATGAGAGGTCCGCCCACGAACGCCGCGACCTCGGCGCGAATTTGGCGCGGATTCGGCGAGTTCGCGTCCCGAACCTAACCCTAATTAGGATGCTACCATCTTTAGTACGAACTCTATGCCATGCCTGACCGCGAATTCACGAGGAGCTCTCTGCCGCATATTTTCTTCACGAGACAAATAACGCGAGCCAGACGTCGCAAGCCGGGTCCGAGCAGATACATTACGCCCTCTTTGCAGACCGGAATGGCGAATGGTCTCTTAGGCATCGCGATCCCTGCTCTTCTCCCAGACTTGATGAACGACCTTTTATGAGACGTACACGCGTAGAGTAAATTCCAAGTGTCCTTCAGCTAGGAGAGTCCGAGAGGTACGGAATCTCGCATGGCTGGAACGGAAACATGGAGTTGTGTCCCGCTTCCTGAGCTTTCAATTGTACAGTGAGACCTGAGGTGAAGACCGCCTTCACAATCAGACATCCTGAGGTGTTGAACTCTCTCTGGATGACCCGGAGGTGGTCTTATTAGACGGGTTTCACTGTAAAATCAACTCAACCGTGGCGCAACGGTCACGGAATCTCCGAAAATGAGCGAATTTATCACCTTGAGCGTTGCCTTAAATGAGACCCCTATTCACTCGGTGAGCAATGGAAATCGCCGGAAGGTCATGACGTGATGTGCATATGTCGATGCATCTCATGAATATGGTTCTCCTCAAGCCTCCTCGATTCCTCGAATCCCGTGAAATGCGCGGATACCCCACGCGAAAGATCTCGGTCTCTTTCATCTTGAGCATGCACCATGCGAGCTCCTTTGAGATCGCTGGCTGTAATCGCAATCACAGTCCGATTGCCCGCCAAAACTCCGCCCATCCCGGGAGTTGCAGTAACTGATGCCCGCCACGCCGCGGGCGGTTTCTACATCTCTGAGGATTCAGAATCGGCAGCGGACAGATGAATGCTGCTCTCCTACAATTCCAGGATCCCGGCACGAGAGGCACGGAGCTATCGGCCCAGGCGACCCATGGACGGAGCAGTTGTTCCTGCCTCGGGCTGCCCAAGAATCCGGATTTTACAGTCCAGCCGGCCTTGGGCCTTGGATTCACGCCGTTCGGAGCATTGGAGAAGGGGGAGCGAATCTCGGTGGAGGAGTCCCTTGACACAGAGTGCCTTTGGTTGGATGGGGAGAAAGGTAACACTTCCCTGAAGCCAACCTTGGCAGCTCCGGTCGAAGCTCGGAGGCTCCTCCTGGCCTGAATTTCCCTGGGACAAGCTCGTCAATGCATCCAGGGGTTCACAACTCGAGGAATCCGCACAACGCGACTCAAGCGCCGAAAACCCTTCACGGCTCGATCCCGAGAAGTTCGCTCGCAATCTCTCCATCACCTGGCTCAGGAAACCTAATTTTCCGTAGGATTTTACTCACGCGGATCCAGTGGTGGAACTATGTCAGGAACAGAGGGCGCACGTGCCCCCGGCATAGCCTCTAGGTGGCGTCTCTTACGACTCCGGCGTTCGAAAGAAGGAGACTCTTCGATGAAGATCCCCGCAGGAAAAGCCTTCTTCGAAGAGTATTGCTCGCCAATAAACTGGTTTCTTCTGGGGAGAGAAACGTCGACTTCTCAAGGGAAGGTCCCGCTTCTGGGCGACATTCCCCGAATAAGCCCTGGACGACATCTATGGATGCGCCGTCGCAGTGATCTAAAATATGTCGCGGCACATTTCGCCCTGCTCAGAAACCGTTCAAGCGCTGTTCCTCAAAATGATTGGCGGGAAAGGGTCCAACGGTACGATTGAAGTGACGCGCTTCGGGAACGCTATCCTTTTCGCGACTGCCATCGCTGTTTTGCCGCTGTTCGCGTCGCTGATCTCCCCTCCAGATCGAAGCGGGTAGACTTCCCCGCTCTCCGGGGGCCACAGCAGGAGTATCTCCTTTCACAGTCCCTTCTCTCTGGCTTCCCCCGAAAGCACATCGGACTTAAGTCCACCAGAAAGTCATACCGAGTAGAAGAATTCCTGTTTTTTCACAATTATTAGGAGAGACACATATGACGTCCTTCCGTCCCTTAAGCAGGCTGGTGAGAAGAGGGCGATGAGGCTCTCCTGATGTATGGGTGGGGAAGTATTCCCCTGGATTGAAATCATGGAAGAATGCCCTTATCCCCTGCCGAATTTCGAGGACGTCGTATCGAATCTTATCATATCTTTCATATCTCATATTCACATAAAACCAGCATAGAACTTCCAGAGGGCTCACGACCCGGGTGCAGTGTGACACTCGGGAATAGTTTGGGACGTATACGGCCACATTCCGGCCGCGCTGGTCGGGCCAATGATTGATTCATAAAGAGACTTCGGACAGAAATCCCCTTTGGAAATTCGCCTGTCGCGATGGGTTTCCGACAAAGCTTGCGGGATCACTCCGTTCCCTGAACTTGTTCGTTTTGTCCTCACACCGGCGCCGTCCATTCCCGTGGAAGGAGCACAATTTGAGCTCTCTGTATAAACGGCTCGAGTTCGATCGACTTTATTAAACCAAGGCATCTCGAAAATATCGTCATATTCATTCCAATATCAACACTTCAGGTTCATGCTCGGCTATCAGGCTCACCTGGCACCTGGTCCAAGGTAAGTGCCCCTCTCTCACACATGATCCGGTCTCAGATATTTACATTGCACGAATTCACTTGAGCCAACGCTCCCCTCCCGCATCGACCCAGAGTCTTTTGATAAATGTGTCCATGAGTCATCCCATGTTTGCAATCCTATAGGTTTTCATAAATTCTACAAAATCTATCGTGCGTCTCTGCCTCCGCGCGGTGCGAAGGGCTCCTGTCCCTTTTCCGTAACAAGCGCATCGATGAATGGGATAAATCGACCCTGCTCGCCGCAAGGTTGCCATCCGCTCATCTCCTCGCGAAGAAGCGGAACTATGATAGCTCCGGACCGTGCGTTCTCCTCCTCGGCCCCTCCACCGAGTTTTGGCTTTGGTGAAGTTTTCTGAGGTCATCGCATGTAGAAGACGAATGTTGAGGTATGGGCTCGATTCGATGGAAGCTCCATCGCGTCGTCAGCTTGGTCGACTCATATGGACTCCGACGCTACATATTATCCTCCTGAGCTCCATCGGGCCGAATATTCAAGCCCGCATCGACGACCGGGACATCTTCTTCAGCAAGTTCGTTATCGAGCAGTGATTTCAGCCATTGTGGGGTGTTGATGACCTTGAAGCCGCCCGGCTGTCGCGGGAACACATCCTCGAGAAAGTAGTACATGTGACCCACGACGATGCCAATCAGATCGACAACCCACCCGTTATTGAGCAGCAGACCGAACGAGAAGAGAACAATGGGTAGGTACGGAGCCTGGAAGTTGAAGAGGCCGAAGAAGTTCAGCCGGAAATGTGGGTTCCGCCGAGCCCAGACGTAGACCAACATCGTGGTGAACGCCTCTCCGAGGAACAGTATGCGTACGAGGAGATTGGCGATCGCCGTACTCGCACCTCCGAGTATGAACATCCAAACGAAGTCCGCCGTGCGCCCCAGAAACGAGCCCTCTTCCAACATCCGACAGTACCTCACCGTGAATAGCATGTTGAAGAAGAGATTGAAGCCTAGCGGGCCGAAGTATGTGAAACTTGTTAATAGCCGCCACACCTGGCCGCGAAGAATTAGGGTCGGGTTGAAGTAGAGCGACAGCGGGCTGATCACGTCAAGTTCAACCGCAAGCGTTGTCAAAACACACGCGGCCACGTAGGTTCTTGTCACCACAGGCACTTCGACGAAGTACTGTTGCATGAGAACTTGTGCCATGGCTCGATTTCGGGATTTCTTGAACCGCCTGGCGAATCCGATCCGTGCTCGTAACGACGCGAGTCTCGAACAGCTTGGCCTGATAATAATATATCATGACGTGTCTCTCAGCTGGCCGGAATCGAAGAGAGCGCAGTCGTCGTCGCCGCAATCCCACGTTCGTGTCGGGCCCGTGAATACGTTCATCATCGCTTGATGGAGCTGAAGACCGTCAAGAGATTCCCATGTATCGATGATTCGAGAGTTGGCTCAGCTGATTGATCTCTACGCATGAATTAATTGCTTGCCGGGGTATCACGAATCGCGACAACTGTCCGATGTTGTTTAGCAATAAAGCTCTCTCTCCGAAAGCCCCTTCATGAGTCGGCGCGCGCAAGTTTGAAAAAGCCCTCAGCGGCTGCCAGCAGGACATTCCGACTCGACGAGGAGACTCCGCGCACATTAACTTGGGAGCTCTGCGTTTCAGATAAAGAGCTCGACTAATATTCAGTGCATCACTGTCCCGCGATCTGAGCATTGAAGATTCGGGGTTGACTCGAGCCCATGAAATAATCCCAACAGTGTCAATTCAATGAGTGAGCTAGGTTTCCCCGATCTGACGTCCACGTCGTAGGGAGGGACTCATGGTGGAATATGAAGAGTACTCCCGTTTGATCTCGTTGTTAAATATTCCGAGCGGAATTCCGGTCGAGCACTCGACTGTCGCTGCCTGCTCCAGTGAGCACGAGGGAGTGGACTGCGGTTACCACCGAAAATAACATCGCTGTCAGTTCGCCGAGAGAGCCTCCGTCGGCCGGACATGGCTTGCTTCGAACGACAAGTCCCATCCGAATCTGCCAGCTCAGTTCCTTTGGGCTGGACGTAGACTGGCAATTCGATTGATCGATGGGCTGGCTGGTTGGTAATACACTCTCGATTTCTGGTTCTGTCAGACGACAAACTTTCGACTGAGAAAGCATCTGCCCTGAGCCTAGGTCGAAGATCATTTCAATGTCAGGGGAACTCCATGCTCTAGGGGCGATGTTTTCCTCGCGTAGACTCGCGTGCTGCCTCCATCCCCCCTTGCTTATGGTCCTCTATCTCATCGTTCTGTCCTTCTGAAACTTCCGGGAAATGAGAGCGAATTTTCGCCAGAACGACACGGCTCGGATAAGTTATCCCGTACCTTATAATAGAGTACACAGGGAGCGATCGATCGCTTATTCATCAGCGCCGAAAGTAATGTTCCCGGGTGTTGTCTGCACCTCGTAAGTTGAAGGAAAGCAATGTGCCTGAACACATTGCCGCACCGAGATCGCTCGCGCCGCCGGTGTCGACATAAGCAGACACCGAGCTACGATTCGAATGAGATCGAACCGTGTGGAGTCGGATCAATCACGGTAGAAACCCTCGCAAACGATGGATGTGCAAATCGCCAACAACACAGAACATCCTGCGTGAGTCTCCGCTGCTCCGACAGAGTGGAATCTCAAGGAATAGAGAGCCCTATCCGAGAGCGAATCATCGGACGGAGCAGAATGCGCCTCTCATTAACGGAACCGATATAATATCTTTCAGGGCAGAGCCCTCGAAATACAGAACCCCTAAAAGAAGGGCTTCTTCGGCCAAAATCATAACAGCTCGACAGGTCAGTCAGCACTCTGATTCATCCTGTAGCTTTTTTGTCGTTCGTATCGAGATAATTGTAAGCGCTCCACGTTACGGAAACTATGAGGGGCCAAATCTGGCGGGGCATCGACGAACGCCGATGGTCTCTCGAGGCCCCCTCAACTGGGAGTTCTCCACGAGAGGGGGCGGGGGGGGGGTTCGAATCAGTGGATATCTTACAGAGCGTCTTGTAAAATGGCACCTAGAAGCGCGTCGAGAGCAGATTCTGCGGTCAGCCTCCTCCGGACAAAAACTGAAGACATGCTGAAGCGTCCGAGCTCGATATCTCTTTAATCTCGTCAAACTCTGTTGAAGTTGAGACGTTGACTCGGGATCCCGGGGTCTTGTTTCTCCCCAGAAAAAAATACGAGACTCACGGCTGAGGTCAGGTCCGGAAGTCAGATGTTGCCTCCTGGGGAACGTCGGAGCAAGACACCCTCGAAGAGATGGCCGACCCCTGGCGATTAGCGACGACTTCTCGACCTCCGTGACCGTTGGCCAAAGCGCTCGATGAGTAGGATTGAGCGCTGAACCTCTTTGACGCAGTAGGATTGATTTTCAGGAGGGTGTTCTCATCAATAGAGACTTGAAAGACAAACTGATAAAGCAAGCCAGAGCCGAGAGCGAAAAGTCGTTTCGAGAATTATGTTCCCTGTTCGACAAGAGCTTAGAGTTTTCAACGCAAGTCGCGAAAACTCTGACAGCAAAACGTGCCGCTTCTTTCAACGCAGACGAGCTCGAAGTAGACGATTCACTCTTTACTGGAGGAGTTCTTAGAGACTACCAGAGAGAAGGGCTGGCTTGGATGGTGAAGCTCAGGAAGCAGGTGAGCTCAATGCGATTCGAGAAGACCGATTATATGTTCACGTTCTTGGAGCTTGAATTTTTCTGTGCCCTCCTTTTCGAGACGGGAATACAAAATTTTTCACGGAAAGAAAACGGCGAGTTATGACTCGATTGCTGTCTAACGCGCTGACCCATACGCATCGCTTCCGTCCCCAGGCTCTCAACGGGATATTGGCCGACGAGATGGGTCTAGGGAAAACGGCGCAATCGATCGCGATGATATGCCACCTGGTGGCGACTGGTGCTACGGGTCCATTCCTGGTGCTTGGCCCGCTGTCCACCATCAGGAACTGGAAGAAGGAGTTTGAACGATTCAGCCCTTCGCTGCCAGTAGTTGTGTTACACGGTCCCGCTCCGACACGGCGGAAAATTCTCAGCGAAATCGGCGTGAAGCATGCCCTCAGTGACGGTTCCTCGAGATCCATATTCCCCGTTGTGATATCCCCATATCACTCTTTCAAAGACCACATAACCAGGCTGGTACGATTTAAATGGGCCTACGTCGTCATCGACGAAGCATCTGTGATCAAGAACCATGAGAGTACCCTCCATCAGTGCGTGGCCTCGTTGTACGTGACCGGCAAATTGCTCTTGACCGGCACACCGCTCCAGAACACCATAAGGGAGCTCTTCAACCTCTTACACTTCCTCTTGCCGAACATATTCCACGACTACCGTCTGTTCGAGGGCTGGCTCGAGGAGCTCGACGCCCATCGGGAAGAGGGAAGTTTCGGGGACGGCGACAGCCGTCAACTTGTGAGCACGATGCATACTATCCTGGCACCTTTCTTCCTACGTCGCACCAAAGAATCGGTGAAGATTGACTTGCCGCCCAAGAAGCACATCATCGTCTATTGTCCCTTGACGAAATTGCAACAAAGTATCTACAAGGCCATCATCTACGCAAAAGAAGAATCCAACGTGGAAAAGATCGAAGCGATCCCGCAAAACACGCCCAGAGCGATGCGAGCTTCTCGTCGATCCAGCATGTACGCTTGTGATCCATTGGAGAGCAGACGTCGCTCCCCCCAAATCGAAGTTGTCACCCCTGCCAAGAGGAGACGCTGGCTGTCGAGTTTGGATTCCGAGAGCAGCTTGTTCTCGGAGGCTGGGAACTCGAACGATTCTCTCCCGAATCTCGCGTCTCCAATGGACGAGGACACGAAGGAAGAAATCCGTTTGCTCGAATCGGGCATGGTCAAATTCAGTAGCGCGAAAATGAATAATATATTGATCGCCCTGAGGCAGACGGTCGCGCATCCGTGGCTGGTACATCTCGACAAAACCTGGGGTGGCTACTTCCCGAGGAACAGGGAGCAGCTACTTGAAAAATCTGGAAAGATGCAAGTGTTCGATATCTTGCTCCGACAGCTCATCGAGAACGGTCACAAGACCTTGGTTTTCTCGGGCTTCACTACCGTTCTCGATCTCATCAGTCTCTACCTCGATCTGAGCCAAATCGAGCATTTCTATCTGAGCGGTAGCACGAAAGTCGACCAACGTCAGGAGTTCATCGATGCATTCAACGAAGCCGACTCCGTTGAGAAGGTCAGTATCCAGAATATGGAATCGCTGCTCCTGGTCACTTGAGACTGTTTAGATTTAGCTCACGAATAGCTGCGGAGGCCGTTGTCATACTTCATCACCTTTGTTATCCTAAGCGATTCTCCGTCGACCCTAGGTGTTCCTGATCTCCACTCGAGCCGGAGGTATGGGGATAAATCTCACCGGGGCGGATACGGTGATATTCTTCGACACCGACTGGAACCCTCAGATGGATCTCCAAGCGGCCGATCGGTGTCATCGTATCGGACAGAATCAAAGAGTTGTGATATACCGACTCATCGGCAAAGGAACTGTGGACGAAAGGATTCTCGATGTGGCAACCGACAAAAGGCGCCTCGAAAAACTTGTGATGAAGTGCGGCAAATTCGAAAAAGTGTCGACGCTCAAAGATCTCAGCCAAGGCGACCTTCTACAAGTGCTGAAAAGCGTAGATTGGGACGCCGCCCTCGACGGAGATCTATTCGATCCCTCTCGGATCGTAGCTCTGGCCGATCGCGATCTAGTTTTCAAAAACGCAGCGAGCCATATTGAGGGTTAAGGCGACCCCATTCCGTCCTGGTAATTGGAAGTGGTCACCAGTTATCGAGATGCGAAGTACCTGTCGATATACCGCTTCAATCCTTTTCATCATGAGATTGGGGAAAATACGCACACGTGATGCGTTCTGGTGTTGGCGATGCGTATGAAAGTGAAAGAGAGTATTCCCGAGCGGGAGCTTCCGGGAGAGATATACATCGAGGTGGCGTTTCATTTCAACCGATTTGACGAGACTTCCTCCATTGAAAATGACACATGTCAAATGACATCACATAATTTTATCACTGACAATGAGAGAGGAGAATTTCTTTCCGAGTTATCCCGAATCGAGACTACTGGGAATGAGGAATAAAGAGTTGAAGACAGGGAGCACGGCCTGGTATCTCGTCTTCCTTCTACACATATATGCTAAATCTTGGACGTCACCGATAAGTAGCGCAAGCCATCCAGATATCCGAAATCACCCCGTCCAGAGGCACCATCTTTTCAGACCATGATGTTTGAGTACGCTAGGCATCGGATCCCAGAAAAGTTGGACTGTTGCACAGCCCGTTGGGACCGTGGAACCGAGAGGGGCCTGCGGAGAGGCTCGTTCCTCCGTGGGGAGTTCCGAACCCCATCGATGTTCCTTCTCCTGACGGACATTCGCAGACAAGCGCCCCGAAGTCCATGGCTCACGGGTGGCATACGGGAGAGTTGAGGAAAACCTGTGAGCTTCGATTCCTGGATCTCGCCATCAGCATTGTCTCGACTCATACGATCGCATAAACTCGATTTTTCATTCCTGTTTTCGGGCGTCAACTTCAGTGAGTAGATCTCTCAGACGAAAGGTCGATATGTTCCCAGATCGTCCAATGGCAAACATGGGGTAGAAATCGGGGAATCCGACAGACCGGGAAGGATCCCGGAGCTCTCCGGTAGTTCCCCTCTCGGAAGTGGAGCCGAGCTCGAATCCCTCGTTCTCTCCGAGGATTGAGGACCAGTTCTCTCGGCGGCTTGATTTCCCGTCATTCATCGTCGTAGCGACGGGTCAGGGGTCATTTCGAAGCGATGAAGCGCTCCCTTCGCTACGACCCCTTCCGGAGCTGAAGGAAACGTCCCTGCAGTCGACTGCTGGCAAGCTCAGTCCGAAAATAAGCCGCACCGTTCGACCTGAGCCTGCGATTTCTCGCACCCATCGATCGGTGCGAAATTCACGCCGCTCATCCCGATCGCCTTCGTCCAACAAATCGAAGAGCTGAAACAAAAGAAGACGTGCTGGAACTCCACATCTACGCGGATAGCGATCGTTCGCTTCCAGCGATTCTCCGGAGCAGTGTCGCCCGCGCCACCATCTCGCAAACTGAAGTGGGAGAGGTGAGTTTTACTTCTTTGTGGCCGACCGTGTGCGTCTGTGACGTGGTACGCCGGGCTCCTCATCTGACGTGTAAGCGGCGAAGTTCGAGTCGCGAAGCATTCGAAACAGGAGGGGAACAACACAGTTTCGCTCGGTTTTTCGGAAAGGTATCTACGATTTCAGAGCTAACTGTTGTATCCAATATTTCTTCACGGATTCCGCTTTTTCTCTTTGATACGCCGATCGAGACGAAGCGATGAGTGACCAGTGACTCTTCTTCCATCCAGGATGTTGCACGCTACGGTGTTCACGTTTTGCCTCGTATCGGTGTTGGCTCAAAGTCCTCCGCCAGGCAATGTCGATCCCACGAAGCAGGAGCATTCCCACGAAGTACCCCAGTACTATCAGCAGCCAGATCCGAAGAGGGTGAAGGAAGCTCTCAGCGACCTCTTCGGAAAGCTCGACACCAACAAGGATAACTATCTCGACGCTGCTGAAATGAAGGCTTGGCTCAAGGTGAGAGACAGCTCAGTAGAATCGACAGCTCGAGGCTTCAGGAAGAGATTATCCTTTGACTCTCCAAGAGAGGCGAAGTCGATGCGCTTCCCGGCTGTCATTCACAGCTGATCAGTTGCGGCACCCGGCTCTCTAGGAAGGACGCTATTCAATCCCGAGAAGCGAGCGCTGGCGACGAATTCCGAGTCCTTCGGACCAAAGCTGATTTTCTTTCAAAACTTATCTGGGAGTTGAAAAACGCCGGAATCGGAGGACATATTATCAAATCGATGGAAAATTATGCTTTCCAGGTCGTGCACGGATCCATGATCAATGACAACATCGATCGTCAATGGGAGTATTTCGCTGATAAACTCAAAGACGGATCTTTGCCTTGGGAAGAATATCGTAAAGTGACGTTCAGCGATGATGGCGAGACCGCCTCGGCGACCGAGGAAGAGAAGAAGCATCTGAAGGATCAACTCGCCAGAACAGGTACCTACCGTTTTCCCTCGCCGACGCTCCCGTTTCCTCAGTAGGAGGATGAGCCCCGATTCCAACTCCCCCCCAACTCCCCGATTCCAATCGATCCGGCAGGCATCATATCGGATTCGATGAAATCACGAAGAGCACGATTCTTGATAAGGATGGAACTTTATCCCCGATTCCAGAGAGGCGCTGGGCTCACGCAGACGACAACGGTGACGGTCTGCTCACCAAGGACGAGTTCAGAGCCTTCTTGCATCCAGAAGAAGATCCTGCCAAGAACGATATCGTCGTAACCGAAGCGATCGAGATGATGGACACGGACGGTGATAAAGTATGTTAGATCCAGGCACCCATGACAATCGCAGCTTTCCGCGTCGGAACCCCCATTCAATCATTGGGACCTCGATTAAATTAGTGGAAATCGACCGTGACGAAACCTTCCCCCCACAGATTATCGCCCTCAGCGAGTACATGGACCATCTGAAGAGCGTAGCGGGTCCCGAGAAAAACGACGACGGCTGGCTCAAAGAGCAACAGGCTCATTTCACGACGTATCTCGATAAGAACAAGGACGGCAGCCTCGATAGGGATGAAATGAAGGAATGGGTCATTCCTAACTTCGATCGCGAGGAGGGCGAGGCTTGGCGGTTCATTTCTTTCGCCGACCAGGACCGCGACACGAAACTCACTCGGACGGACATTCTTCAGAATCCAGACCAATTTTTAGGACTACTACCGGGAGAGTTCTGGGCAGAAAACGCTGCTCCCCACGACGGACGTGATCTCAAGCATAACGAACTCTGAACCATCCCAAATCGATATTTTTTAAAATAAATGTGATAGAGCCGGACATCCGGCACAGAACTTCCTACCCGTCTTTACTCCTGTACCGGCCCCAAGAGTTCTCTCGAGGAGGGTGGATCTTCCGACCAGGGATGCCCAGACTGTTTTCGGGGAATGTAGCGGCGGGCTAAGGCTAACAGATAGATAGGGAAGAAGCTTCGAATTTATATCCAGCGTCCTGCAGAAACCAGACGGGGAAACTTATGCTCGAGGATAGGTAAGAATCGAGGGAAGGGGAACGGCATGGGGGAATTCCATCCTCTTCAGCCGAATATCGTCAAGCGGCATCCGGTCACGGGAAGCGAAGTTGGAGCTTCGATTCCCCTAGATCATGCTCATCAGGGTTCGGTTGTCTCTCGAGAAGCTCCGCGGTGAATCGCGCGTTCTTGACCGCATCCCGTCCGGACGGTGCTGGCACTGGCCCCATCCAGACCGTCCGAGGGATCGGTCGGCTACAGATTGGAACGGAACACAGCGGCGAGTTTCTAAGTCACGAGCTCCATCCTCGAGATGAGGACCCCCGCCCGAGGACTTCGTGGAAGCGGGAAAGAGCGCTACGAATTCCCAGACCGGTGAGCAGAGGAATGGTTGGTAGCAAGCGAGCTGGAGGAGAGCCCAAATGTCCGCATAATGGACCAGATAGGATCGACGCCTCAACTTTGCTTCGTCAGAATGGACCTCAAAAAACACCGGATTTGAGACAGAGAAGCGATTACTCCGAAGACTAGGTAGCCGTGTATTGAATACTTCACCATGTATTTTGAATAGACTTATTCATAAATGATTTCTTAGAAACAGCCTCCGATGCAGCTCTCCGATTCCGATTCCGGGATAGCTCAGCATTTCCGAGGATCACTAGTTCCAACTAAACTCAAAATGATATGAGTGATCCACATCAGAGAGATGCCAACGAGCGAACCTCCACAGGCCATATCGACCACGTCCCATTGTCCAGATGCTCTCAGGTACGATAATTTCAAATTCGAACCGTTTCGATCGGCCAGAATCGAGCCGTCTCGGTATCGATCCTCAGAAATCAACAAATGACGATGCCTAGAGACTCCGCGACGTTCTAAAACTCGTCATGGAGCATAATTTCAATTTTTGAACAGTTCCGGGTATCACAACATAGAGACGCTGCCGTCGTGAGGGTAGAAATTCGTGGCAGCAGCAGCGGCAGCTGCCGGGGCTTGCGGCGCTGCTGAAGCTGCTGATTCGAATAACAACCTTGCGGCGGGCAGCGGGTGGACGCTCCCGACCATCTGTTGTTGAACTTGTTGACTAAGTGGAGCGGATACCATTGGAGGAACGAATTGAGTAGGAATTTGAGAGGGGATCTGGAACGACTCTAAATACTGCGCAGCTTGAGCACTGTCGTAAACGTGCGTCGGCGGAAAAGTTTGCATGGTTTGTTGGAATGGGTAAACCACCGGAATGCTATGCTGTTGTTGTTGTTGATGTTGTTGTTGATGATACTGATGATGTTGCTGTTGTTGCTGTTGTTGCTGTTGTTGCTGTTGTTGCTGTTGTTGCTGTTGTTGCTGTTGTTGCTGTTGTTGCTGTTGTTGCTGTTGTTGCTGTTGTTGCTGTTGTTGCTGCTGCTGCTGCTGCTCATGAGCAGTGGGAGTGGGTACAAGTTCGAATCCGTCATTCGATTCATCGACTCGATTTCCAGTCAACTCAGCTGCACTGCTCGAAACCGTCGAAGATGGAGGTCGCGGCGGTTGCTCGCTGATCGAAAGGATCGGTTGCTCACCGGCCAAGGCCACCGGCTGGAACATAGCGGCCGGGTTGTAGAACTGAACCATCGGTGCTGCTGAAGAACTCGGCATCATGGCTGGCTCGGCCACAGTCATCACGAGAGCTTGCGGCAGCTCAGAAACGGTGGCCGTCTGCGCGATCGGAGCGGGTACGACAGAAGTGATCGCTTGGATCGCCGGACTATCCGACATGATTCCATGGGAGACCGCTATCGAGCATGGCGTCTTCGCTGCGGAATTCACAGCAGATTCGCTGGACTGTTCGGACTCCGGGCCTGAGGGAACCGTCGTTTGGAAGTTCTGGGCCAAAGTCGCATAATTCATAGCGGTCGCTCCCATGCTCTCCAGCGAAGGTCTGGCAGGAGCCACGGCTTGAGTGGAGGGGTCGTCCAGAGAAATCGCTTGGAATCCTGCGCTTATCGCGGCAGGTCCTTGAGACCCCTCGTAGATAGGGTCTGTTCCCGCGAGGTGATTCGGTGTTACTTGTGTTGCTGATCGGTTACCGATTGGGACCGCCGCCTGGATTGTCTGACTCGAAGAAATTGTATCCTCGAGCTCCTTCAGTTGGGTACTCTGTTCGCCGACCAGCGCCAGCAGATCGATGATGCGCATATCACGGATCCGAAGCTCTTGTTCAACTTCTGATATCCTGGAAAAACCGGACACGGATGCTTACGAGATCAGGAACACAAGTCACGATTGGCGCGAATTATTATTATTCTCGTATGAAAATTGAGCTTGATCACTCACCTCTGCTTGGCTTTCTGGAATTCGTCGTAGAAATTCGTTTCGCATACTGGCGCAACCTTCTGCACGGGGGGACCGGATTGCGCTTGGGGAGGCAAGTTCACGCTGAAGGTCGGTACCAAAGACGACGCTGTCGTGGACGCCCCGGCCAAGGTCGAGCTGTGAGCGTTCCTCAGCTGATTGATGAGCTCATCTTTCTGCTTGATGATTCGCTTGAGCTCGTCAATTTGCTGCTGCTGTTTGTCGGTTTCTTCCAGACATTTGTGTATCGTGTTCTCGCAGCTCCGGTACAGACTGCAGAACTGATGATCGAGCAGGGTCTGGTCGGCGACAATCTGAGGAGATCGGAGAGCTGCCGCATAGCACGGTTGCCTGGCCAGGACGCTCAGCTTTTCTAGAAACGCGTCCCGGCCGACTCGGTTCACGACGAGAGTCCGAAGCGCGACCTTATTGAGTGCGTCGTTGCTGTCGTCGTTGTAGACGATACAGAGCGCCAAGTTGATCGCGCACAACGATTGCACTATGGCCTCCTGTTGCTCGTTGGAGGGCAGACACAGCTCTGAGGTCAGGTACGACACGTTATCGGCTGAGTTCACGAATTTCGCCACGTTTGCCTCTGAGCCATTGAGCCACGTAGCTATGAGGACGAGGTAGGCTATACGAGTTTGATTCGGCATGTTCGGACTCTTCAAGAAAACGGACAGGTCGAGCATGACATGGTCGAGGCCCTTGTTATTGGCGATCAGATACGAGGTGGCCATCGCTGCGAGCCAATTGCACATCGGTTCTTTCGAAAGCAAACCCTGGTGGAGATGCTTGCCTTCCGTACAGGTGTCGAAGTGTTGAACGTATTGATTTTGTAGTTCTAGGTTACCCTCCACGTAGCATTGGAAACAGTAGAGAATAGCGCATCGCAGATCCAGGGGCTGCTTTTCGGTGAGCATCGCCATCAGAAGTATCAACACCGCGGACGTGGGGGGCTCCGGAGGCGCTTCGACTTTTTGGAAAATGCTCTGGTTTTCGGGTGATCCTCGGATGACTTCGGCCACGGTGTTTATGTTCTCCCAAAGGACGTGTGCGGGAACACCCGACGTCATCAGTGTATCACAGAGGACGGTCAGCAGACCCGATTCTCGGATACTCCGCTGACAGGACCTCGTCACGTTCGCCGGATTGTTCGGGCTGACGAGGCATCTGACTACCTTGTACATCGCCAGAACGTTCGAGACTTTTCCTGCGGCCCAATCCGACGTTGTTTTGTTCAGACTGAGGAGGAAATCGACGAGACGCTTGATGTAGCGAACTTCGTTAAAGAAGTTCAGATTCGATTCGTTCTTGTGCAATAAATTCAACATGATGCTGAGCGAGTCTTCCACTACGATTCCTCCGTCGGCGTAGCCCTCGCTCTCGATGATGTCCAATAGACGATCGAAAGCCGAATCGAAAGCTACGATTTTTTGAATGTAAGCGTTACTCTTCGTGAGCTGAGTGAGCATCAGCAATGCGTCGTTGCGTATGACTTCTCTGCTGTCGATCAGCAGATCCATCAGCCTCGGTATTCCCCTCGGGCACGAAAGGACCAGCGTTTGCATCTGCTTCGTTTGATGTAACACCAGACCGGAGAGCAGCTTGATGGCCGACCAGCGGACCGAGAAGTCGTGCTCCTACGTGTAAGCAAACTTGTTACAGGAAAATATCACGGGAAATGGTGGTCCTCCAGATTCGCAATCATAAATAACAGGACCGATCTTTTTTGATTTTCACCCTGACCTCGATAAGCTCCAGCAAGAGATTGACGTTGCCGGAGTCCTTGATGAAGATTTCGGTGAACTGCTCGCCAAGTTGATCCTGTGCGCAGATGATTTCCGATAGTGTTTCAAGAGCCAGGTTCACAATCTCAACATCCGATCGATCTTGGTCCAGAATTCGAACCAAGGGTCCCATTCCTCTGGCTCCGACCTGCACCCGGTATGACTACAGGAATTCGTCAACATTAGTTTCAGAAAATCACACGGGGGAACAGGAGAATTCTTCCCTCAGAGCGGGACCTCACAGTTATCTGAAGGGAGTTTCCAGGAAAATTCAACTCACCCGGGCAAGATGCCGGAGCGTGCGGCAAGCCTCTCTTCTGTCGGATAGCATCGTCGCCGTTTCAATTCTGTCTACGATTCTGTCGACCGTTGAAGGTCCATCGTCCTCTTGGGGTTCGTCCCGGCCCCCTCCGCCAAGGAGTCCCGACAGGAACATGCTCCTGCCGTTCAATCAGACCGAGAACGGTGTTCGGAACGCGCGGATGCCACTGGAATCGAGCGCAATCTGTCCTCTTAGAAGCAGCCTAGTAATCTCTACCGATCATCGGGTACTCCTACGGGAGTCCGCCAGTCATAAAGCTTCGTTCTCAACAGACCGAAATTTCGAAAACAATCTCTCAATTTCGAGGCGATCAGAATTAGCGATCACGGAAAAAAGATTAGCCTTCGCGTATCCCTCAGTCAATGAACCTTCCTAGCGGTGCAGAGTTTGGAAACTCGATCATCGATGTTAGTGTGGCGATTTAGTTTCTGCTGGAGAATATTGGGCCCTGGAGGATCCGACTCCCCCGATAATTCACGATTAGGGGCAGCTCAGTCAGACCTGGAGGCTCCATCAGAGCAATCGTATCGATTTGGGAAGCCGGTATCGATTCATTTGATCGGGTATCGTCTCTCGGCCGAGAATTCGGCAGATTCGAGAAGTTCTTGTCGTTAAAGACTGCGATGCTCACGAGAAATTCTGGCGAAGGATCTCCGAATCGAATAGTCGAGCGAGATTTCCGGATGATGATCGCCGATTTCACTTTTTGACGGGCGTTCTGAAGCAACTAGCCCGAGGAGTTTTCATTCCAACCCGAACATCTCGAATCAGCTCGTGGATTTATTGAGGTCTTTATCTCCCCGAAATCCACTGGGACTATTCGCGACCACTTGTCATTTCCCTCAACATCTGGAATCACGAGAAATCCCCACGTCATCGGGTTTTCTCGAGCATTAAAAATTGTGGGAGTAGCGTACACTCACAGCAGATCTTGTAGAAATCGTAGTCTAGCACATGTCTTCAAACTAACTTCAGAGCGTGCAAATACACTCAGGAATATCTTGGAGGCGAAGATCCGAAGCAATTGTCGGTCGATGGATATGTTCTCTTGTTTTCCTGCTGCTGTGTGATGATACACGGGGAACGTTGTGGCCACCGTAGCAGACATCTCTCTCTGCTGTCGACCGTGAGCAGACATCTTCCTCCTCCTAGACACAACCTGCCGCTCGTAAGCTTGAGCTTTCTGATTAAAATTGCGCAGGCTCGAGCGACCTTGAAGGATTTCTCATCCGAAATCATCGGGGAGTCACGCGGGGCTCCGAGAGTTCAAGTAGAGAGCTCCAGTCTGCAGACGGGAGCGGAGACGATGATGCTGATGATCCTTGCTGAAAGCATGACAGTGATCGGGCGGCTCCATGCCCTCGATGGACCGCACGGACTCACCAGCAGAACCTAAAAATCCGCAGAGCTCGGCGATCCCATGAGTGGGACTTCCTCACCGTGTTATACTCTCTTGTCGGGAATCTTGGGAATAGGGCTGAGCTCCGGGTTTCGGAGAGGAAACTGAACGTTCGAAGATTCTTGACTTCTATCATCCGTGACGGAATGAACTTTACGCTTCCTTGAATTCACGCAAGGAAAAAAAGCCCCCTGCCCTGATACTCCCAGCTCCGACACTCTGGAGGCTTGCAGGATCATGTGGATCAACAGAGTTGGATTTAAAGGAAGCCAGGCGAAGGAGGAAGGTGTTTTTCTACATCTGGTGCCGACCCCCTTGTTCCTCTTCTCTCCTCCCCGAATATTCATCAGCGAGTAATGAGTGATTGAATTTTATTGACATTACTGCGAGTCATTTTGAATATATATTATTCAATAAACATCACATGACTAGACTCCCAAAGGTCGCCACTGCGCTCACTTCCGAGCTTTGGATGCGACAGTGGCGAAGAGCAGGAAGAAAGTCGACCAACCAATGGACACAACGAAGCCTAGCCAAACTTCGTACTTATCTACCCCCCAACCGCGGTACATGATACAGCGCAGCGCTTCGGTGGGGATAGTCTGAGGGAGTCCGTAGGCGACGTAGCGGACGACACTCGGCATCGCTTGTACTGGCCAGATTATTCCTGCAATTCAAACGTACGATGGTAGATACCTGGCAGGAACTCAAGTCGAAGAGACTAGACAGGGAAAGAGAGTTGGATGAAGGCATCAGAAAAAGGAACTTCCAGGGAAGATATGGAGTCTCTCCAGAGACTGCCCGTCGACGGGCCATTCGGGGAACCTGATACGTACCGCTCAAGAGCAGATTCGGGTAGAAGGTGCCGAGGGCCAACATCATCGCGGATTGCTCTTCACTGCAAACAGACGAGATGACGAGCCCATACGTCATTCCGGTGAGGCCTTGAGTGAAGGTCAGGAAGACGACGTTGATGAATGACCCCTCGAGTGGAATCCCGAATATTGCGAAAATGAAGAAGAGCAGCGATGCCACCTGGACGCTCATGACGCAGAACTGGGATATGACGTGAGACCCAACGACTTCAAAGGGTTTCACGCCGGCTACCCAGCAACGTTCCATGGTACCTTCGCGGCTCTCCATGATGATCGAAATGGACGTTAGAGCTACGGCCATGATATAGGTAATCGAGAGAATGATTCCTGGTGCCATGAATTCGGTGAAACTCGGTTTCCCATTGCCGTAGACAGGATCTTTGACCCGGACCGGAAGTTGAGCCAGAGCAACGTTCTTGTTCATATCTCGGAGGAGCTCCTCACAGAATGTCTGAAAATATTCGATAACGTAAGCAATGAGGCACATAGAATAAAAATCTCCAACGACATGGGGAGATGCGATCACATGAGAGGTCTGAGATAGAATACAACTCACGACGAAGGACTCGAAGATAGTCTTCTGTAGTATGAAACCAATTTGTTGGTTGGTCATGTCCATGTGAATATCAATCGTAGATTCTTCGAGAGTGACATTATCGGCATCGATCCCCGACAGGAACCGATATTTCAGGGTCTTGGAGTAGTTGGGTCCGATGTGAATGACGCCATACGTTTCGCCACGTTCCACGCTGGCGAGCGCGGAACCGAGGCCAGAGTATGGTCGTTGGATGATCGTTCGCCCCGGGATCGTGTCGAGGAAAGCTTGGGAGTGTCTCGGGTTTGCGTCCGCATTCACCACGGCCACGGGCAGATCATAAGGATCCGCTCCGATGCAAAGGCAGAACAAAATTACTTGGAACGACGGCACAAGGAACGTGAACAAGAGGAAGGGGTAGTTGCTCCTCAGCCGAGTTATGTTCTTCTTCACTAGCGCGGGTACGCGCTGTCGCGATGAAGTTTCCCAGAACGTGTCGCGACGCCTCGAATCAGGATCGATTTGTGCTCCTCCCGACGGAATACGTCTCGCGACGTCCGGCGGAAGCGCGCACAGCGAAGGCGTCTGGAAGGAAATATTCCGCGCGTTAGGTTCTGACTGCGGATGATTGGCGCGATTTTCTGAAGGAAAACGGAGTCGACGAGACCGTCCAGGGCAACGTTCGAATACTGCCGCCAGAGTCCGGAAACATCGTTGAGAGAAAAGACCATAAATATTCGGGACGGACAGAGAGAGGAGTACAGGGATATCTTGGGGATACAGTTGAATCTGATGGCAGAGAACGCACCCGATATAATGTGTGTGATTATCTAGACTGAATATCGGTCCGGCTAAACTCCTACCTCTCCCTCGAGCTCTTTGGCGCTGAGGTCCTTATCCTCGATTTTGAGACCGACCACCTCGAGATTCTTTTGCTGAGCGACCGAAAGTTTTTCCTTATCAGCTGCAATGCAGAGTTGCAGGAAGACGTCTTCGAGACTTCCACAACGGAAATCCTCCATGAGTCGGTCGGGTGAGTCCTGGGCCAGCATTCGACCCGACCTCATGAGACCCACCATGTGTGCCTGTCGAGCTTCCTCGACGTAGTGAGTGGTCACGATGACCGTCATACCTTTCTCGCGTGTCAAGGTCACGAGATAGTTCCAGATCCTGTAAACAGAAAATGAGCGTTCACGAAAACTCGTAGGGATTAATCTTCCTCAGCCCATTGTTTCTCCCATTTAGAGCGTGGGGAATACGCGGGTACGCTGCGAGAATATCGATTGCCATTCTACCATCCATGCTCTCAGTTGGACAGACCAATCAACGTATTTTATAAGGAGCAGAAGCTCGCAGAATGTGGAGAAATGATTCGTTGAAGTCACTCCACATCGACTTTTTCGAAATCTAACTTCCAATCAAGAGAAATGAGAGTAAAGAACGGAGATGTACCGTTCTAGATACTAGATGCCTTTTCGTTTTTAGTATAGAGCGCGACTTCCCTCTGAACCTAACGATCTTCCCCTTTGACTCGTCTGATTTAATTCTGATTGATGCAAGACTGCTGCTTGGAGCCATCGCAAGAGCCGTCCGCGCTAAGAACGATTTTTGCATTTCGACTTGTTCGTGGAAACTTACGCCAGTCGTAGGAGCGGGTCGACCCCGACCGTGGGTTCATCGAGAATCAGGAGAGGAGGCTCATGAATCAAAGCAACGGCGAGAGACACTCGTCTCTGTTGACCGCCAGAGAGCTTGCCCACCTTTTTGTAGGGCCTCGGGAGGTCGAGAAAATCCAAGAGGAAGCGGATGCGCTCTGCAGAAAGAAAGAAAATAATTATTGATGTCTATTCATTGATGTGCGAGTGATCGCTCCATCGGACACTTGATCGCTGCTCCTCGTACTCAGGTTAAAACCTATTCTTGGAATTGATTCACCGAAAGATTCGGTTCCGTTGCAAGATCGCTTCGGAATGGGAGACCGTCAATTCATTCTGACCGGGCGACCCGATACATGATGAACGACTTTTGGATTCACACCGCACGCAATAGATTAAGGGCCTTCCTGACGTTCGATGTCGGAGCCGGGTCTCTCCAGTCACTCCGGGAAGTGCTCCGACTCGATTCGATTCCTCACCGCGTGACGGATCTCTGCGTCCTCCGCGACCTGAGATCTGATCCATCTCTCGCGGTTTCTCTAAACGCTCACCTTGGATAAGTTCTTCAGGCATTCCATAGAGTTGCCCGAAGTGATGTAGGTTGCCGTATATGGTCTTCTCCTGATACAGCGCGGGTTCCTGTGGCATGTAGCCGACTCCCGGTCCTGGAATACACGATCCCGGCGAACCAGGAATCTGATCGAAGACTCGGACCATTCCTCCTTGAGGTTTCAAACGGCCCACGATGCATTTGAGCAGAGTGGTTTTTCCACAACCGCTGGGACCGAGAAGTCCATATCTGGAAGAATAAACACACAAAACTTCAGCGTCCTCTCCTTGCAGTGTCTTGTCGGCGTATCGTCATGAATCATAGTTGTAGGAAAGGGAACGCTGATCATAAAAATGGGAGACTCTCGGATCAGGTTCTCTAGTCTCGTATAATACGACGAGTTCTCGCTCTGGATCTTTGGCACATTTCTAATGAACTCAATCGAACTCGCTATTGATTTGGCTATCGAGACAGTGCGCGGATAAGATACAAAGCGGATGACTTACATTTTGCCTTCAGGAACCGTGAGGTCGATGCCTTTGAGGACGTCTAAAGCGTAATTTCCGTACCCGTAAGTCAATCGGAGACGGTCGACGTCTACGGCGAGCTTCTGTGTGAGGCTCATCGATCCTCTGTCCGATGTACTGAGCTCTCCCAGAGGATATTTGTAATCCTCTTGGCCGAAGATGTTGAAGTCCAGAAGCTGTGCCATCTCTTCAGGTAATTTCCTCCTGAAGGATTGAGGATTCGCGAGAGATGAGCACCTCAATGGATCAGAATTTCTGATCTCGTAGAACGGAGTCGAACACGGCTAAGGTTTTCGCCCGATGTATGATGCGCTTTGCCGATACTCTAGAGGAGCTTAAATAAGGCTCAGGATGAAAGGACGAGAGCGGAATACGGGGTTCCATCGAAAGCTCCGTTTTCGGTGGCGGTACGCTCCTCGAAAACACCTTCTCTCCACGCCTCTCTCGAACCTTCTCTGCTACGCTCTTGGGAGCCTGAGGTGGGCGATGAACCCCCCGGTGCTGGGTCTCGTCTTCACGACAATTGATCGATCCTTCGCGACGGAACCGGCGGCGAAACCGTTTTTTCTTCGGTGCACGGCTGAATCCGGGTACCCGTATCGTTTTAGGGATTTTCGCGTTGAAGTAGAGTCTGACTTGGGGTCCACCCGCACGGAGGGACCACCTGAGGTATTAGTCCACTACTTCCACCGAGGACCGGTTTCCCCGACTCCGAGTTAGGCTTTGCAACCGTGGTTGTTGACCGCAATTGCGGTTTTTCTTCAATATGGGAGTCTACGGGGAATAGCGAACAACCGCAGAAAGTAACCGCGGTTTTTCCCGAAATCTGCGATTATTTGCAAAGGGTCTCGTCTTAACGACAACTGATCGATCCCTCGCGATGGAACCGGCGGACGAAACCTATTTTTTCTCGGCGCACGGCTGAATTCGGGTATCCGTATCGTTTGAGGGTATTTTCGTGTTGAAGTAGAGTCTGAC